TTTATAAAATTTATAAATTAGCTAAAGTTATTAAAAAAGAAGTATATAAAGATTTATTTATTTATCTATAAGCTATAGAAATAACCTATAGATAAGGATATTATATAAGAGGAGCTTATAATAATACTCTATTTAAAAGATTTTATTATAATTAGAGGGTAAGAGAAGAACTACTTATAGATAACTTAGATTATTATTTATAGATATAAAGATATTATATATAGAGATAGTTATCCCTACTTATAAAGAGAGAGATAAAGATACTTAAAATAAAAGAAAGATAGATAGAATCTATATATCTTTAATAATAGATAATAGTTAATAGATGATAGATAATAACTTAAGAAGAAAAGAAGATTATAAGAGGCTAGAAGTATTATCTTTAAGAGAGGGATATATAATTATCTTAACTAGCTACTTATATAATAAAAATAGGCTATAAGATCTTTAACTTTAGGCCTCTATAAGTAATAAGAGAATCTTTTTCCTATATTAGCTATAATTTTTATTCTTATAGAGAGGTTTTATAAGCTTTTATATAGTTTTTTTTTAATGGCTACACCATATAGAGGAGGCTTATAGGTTAGGATGATTATAAGATACTAAATACTAACTATAAAGGTTGCATCTATAAAGGCCTTAAGGGACTAAGGCCTATAAGGGGGGGGGTAGTTATAAGGCCTCTTAATAGTATAGTAAAGATATCTATCTTGCCTATATAAGGGTATCTCTTAGTCAGCCCTTACTAAGTAGTAGGTTAGATAAATTCTCTCTTATAGAGGAAGAATCCTAACCCAGTATTAATCTACTTAATTACCTAAATTCTTAAAATCTAAGCTATACAGTATCTATTCTTTCACACTAGTCATATTCCACATATAAGACCTAGTGTTCTCACACTATAAGAATTCTTAATCTAAAAAGACTAATAAATTAATATACAAAAAGAATACTTATAAACAGGTTTAATAATAGATTTTCTTATTTAAGAGATTATTATTGAACTCTGATATTTATAATAATAATTATAAATAGAGATTATTATTGAACTCTGATATTTATTATAATAATTATAAATAGAGATTATAATCTTTATATTTAAATAACTACGTATCTAACTCCTTATACGGAGCCCTCTATAGATATGCTCTCTAGAAGTGGCATACTATATATATAAGGACCCTTATAATCCTACATATTATTAATATGTGG